ATGAGTCAGTTGCCAAGTGTCCAAATTTGGATCATGTGACCCTGGGGATGCTGCAATGCTCATAATGCACTTTTTCCAGTGCCGTTGTAGTTTCAAACTGTCACTAAACAAACTCTTATTTAATTGAGGACTACCTATCATGGTTTACGAGGTTCACACCAGAAACTAGGCCGACCAGAACGTGCAACGGTACAGCATTGATTGCAGTCTAAAGCCAAAATTGCCATCTTGGTGTCACCCAAGACAATGGGGTGAGGGCAGGCAAAGGACATAACACACAACAAAGCTCGACACCCTGCAAGCGTCGTGGATTATGTCCTGTGCACCGCGATGTTATGATGTATCTCATCTCGTTGTGGCTTCTTTCAGATGTTTAAGCCCCAGGGCTTCCTGCAAACTTGCTTTCCTCAGCCAAAAGTTTGAAATGCAAGCAGAAGCTGCTGAGCAACTTACACGGTAGTGGTTCTGCGTGAATGAATAAGAGCATTCTTGCAACTACTCTGAGGGAGATGCCACTCGTCCTCAGATTATGTCTCAGCTCTTCTGACCTGCAGCTGTTCAGTTAGTAACACAGCTGTTAAGAGAATCTGGCTTGAAGGTCGCAAAGGTCCAGGGCAACCGTCATAAATTTGAATCAATTGTCAAGCGCCGGATTTTGATCCTGTGACCATGGGGATCTACGATGTTTGTAAGTGCAAAAAACTCTGTTTTTGGCTTAATGTCCTGGTTCCGACAGATGAAACTCTTCAAAGAACTTCTTTGAGGCATTGTTTACCTTAAAGAATCTTTATTCGAGTAACATAGCATGGGCACGTACAGAGGCCAAGCCAAAATCTGAATTCCCCTCTCCTGAGCACATAGTATCAAAGCACAATTCCCTCCTCCAATTAACAGTCATAAATCACATTCTCCAATTAGTTTGAAGTGCAGGCTTTCCCTCCAGTTCTGCAGCCCGGCCAATTCTTATCATCTCTTATTTCAATTAGCTTGGTTCTCACACTAGGTCCAGTGTTGTTATGTCTAGCTAAACTCTCATGCACATTCCTCTCCCCCCCCCGCATCATCTAACTCTAAAAGTAAAACATAAGAAGAAAATGGTTGCATCTCTAACTGTTGTCAAAGCAAAAACATCCGATGTTAGCAGTGTTGACAAAACCATTGTAACTTTGACACAAACTGTTGTAAGTCGAGGACTGATCCCTACCATCTCCAAGGCCAGACCCACACTTTTGGCTCATCCCGTGCCATTTACGAAATGTTGGAACCATTTCAAGAGCTAGAAAATAGCCATCAGCGGCAAAAATGGAGCACCCTTTGTGTAGGAGAGCTATAATGGACTCACCCTTGCTTCAGTGGTTGAAGTTATGGCTTCCAGCAGCCTGACTACACCTTAATTAAAATATAGTATCAACTCCTGCAACTCAGAAATACAATCAGCCTATCTATACACCACTCTTTTATTATGGATAACGCCCAAAGAATACATAAAAACAGGAGGAAAGAGTAAACAGTAAACTGGAATAGACCAATTTGGAAAGAAAAATCATTCAGATTTGGATTGTTTTAAAAATATGTCTCTTAATCTTTCCAAATAAATGGATAAAAAGGCCTTTGGCACCAATGAAGCCAGAATGATGGTCGGGTTTGAGATTATTGCTAAAGTTTGTCAAGTACCTAAAGCTGACTGATTTTTTTTAATTTTATGCATGTATCTAGCTACAGATGTAGCAATTACCAGGTGATATTTCCCAGTTAGCAACAAATACTAGAGATATTTTTAAGTTCTATTTAAAAGGTCTCAAGAAATTAGAAGATCTCAAACTTACCTTTATCTTATTAGAAGGCGTATTATTTAGACCCATTTATAGTTGTCCCTGTTTTATTGTTCTCTCTATGCTTAAGTAAAATCAGCGTTAACTAATCTAAGATTAATCTGACTGCTTGAAACCAAATAGCTTAACAAAACTACCTAATAAAATCAGAATCAAATTAAAAGGATAATTAAAATAAAAGTTCATGTACATAGAACTAGGAAAAATGGCAGTCAGACAATTATGTTGGATGTATTTTGACACTTGTACTTTAAAACTTGTCATCAAAAGCTAGAATACTCCAGTAACTACCAAGTACACATTATTTTAGATTATTTTTTTGAGGAAGGGTAATATTGCAAAACTAGGAATTATTGCTGGAACTTCGATAAAGGAACTGTGTACACGAAGGGCAAGTAAAAGAAGCAAAGAAGGAACATAGATGATTTAAAGGCAGGTGGATGGGTTCAAATATTATGATGAACCTTAAATCCAGGTCAACAAAAGTCCTATGATCACTTGACTCATGATGCCTTCAGAAGGGAGCTAAGTGTGGTTTAATTGATGGACTAGACCAGGGGTAGGCAACCTTGGCTCTTTTATGACTCGTGGACTTCAACTCCCAGAATTCCTGAGCCAGCCACGCTGAGGGGAAATGGAGAGGTTTCCAAGCTGAGCATATGCTGGCTCAGGAATTCTGGGAGTTGAAGTCCACCAGTCATCAAGGGAGCCATAGTTCCCCCATGCTGGCTCAGGAATTCTGGGAGTTGAAGTCCACCAGTCATAAAAGAGCCAAGGTTGCCTACCCCTGGACTAGTCCATGCACAAGGGCTGGGGGGGGAGGGAGAAACCATCAGAGGGGTGACAAACCATCAACTGTCCACTTTCCTTTCCACCTGTCAACCTAAACTCACACTGAAAATCATTTCAAAGGAATTTCTGAAAAGGAAGTGGACAAGGAAAAGACCCCCTTTCCCAAAAGCTGCGGGAGGGAGCCTCTCTCTGTGCAAAAAGCATTAATCACCTTGGAATGACAGCCAGTCACAGGAGGGCAGCTGACAGACAGCAGCATCCAGGGCAGTAAAAAAAAAAAAAAAACCCCGGAGGAGTCTGGAATTCCAGCTGAGTTCATTGGCCTTGGAGACTGTCCTCAGTGGCCCCCTTGGCTGACATTGCAACGCTAGGGGGGTGGGCGGGAAAAAGGACCGCCTCTTGGGAAGAAAACCACTTTTTTGGGGGGGGGACAGCCTCAACAATTAACCAACTCCCTGCCTTCCAGAACACTGGAAGTTTTTAAGAAGAGACTGGACAGCCATTTGTTTGAAATGCTAGAGTTTCCTGCCTGAACAGGGGTTTGGACTAGATGACCTCCAAGGTCCCTTCCAACCTTATTATTATTATTATTATTATTATTAACAACTTTGGGGCTGACAAAGATCTCTTTTTTTCAGGGATCCTGCACACAAAATTTTTAAGATGTTGCCCTGGTCCCAGAAGGAGAGGTACACTTTAAGGGATGGTGGCCACCGAAATTTGGAGTCTGGAAGCACCCTTGCCGACTATAATTAGTCCTCCATTTATGACCGGAAAATAAGCCCGGAATTTACGTTGCTAAGCGAGACATTGGTTAAGTGGGGTTTGCCCCATTTTTTACAACTTTTCTTGCCGTGTTTGTTAAGCGGATCCCTGCAGCTGTTAAATTAAGTTTTTTATGGGAATCCTTTGATTTCGCTTGTCAGGTCGCAAAAAAAGGGGGATCACATCACACACACACACAGAGAGACACACACAAAGAGAGAGAGAGAGAGAGAGAGAGACAACCTGGGGGCAGTGCAGCCATCACAGATATGCACCAGTTGTCAAGCATCCGAATGTAAACCACGTGACCCTGGAGGATGTTGCCAGGGTCACAAGCGTGAAAATGGCTCACTTTTTTCAGCACGGTTTAACTCCGGTCACTAAACGAAGTGTAGTCAAGTCGGGGACTATAAGTCTGAGAAGCGTCCATTGCAGGAGCTTCTTGCCTTTTAACAGCCTTGGACAACAACTCCTTCCAGTGTGTGTGTGTGTGTGTGTGTGTTTGTGTGTGTGTGTGTGTATGTGTGTGGGGAGGGCACACACATTGCTGGACAATTCCAGGCCAGTGTGGGAATGCCAGCATCTCCAGCCTCCCGTTCGTTCCCACAAAAGGGATCCAGCGCAGGATTGTGGATCATTCCCCATGGGGAGGGGGGGGAGAATCCAGAAGGAAAACTCAACAGACAAAACACAAAGCGTCCTTATCACAATCCTTTAGGAGAGGAAGGAGGGGTCTCTCCATCTGAAGGGGAGGAGAGATTGAGAGAGAGAGAGAGAGAGAGAAAGAGAAAGAGAGAGAGAGAAGGGAGGGGGTCTCTCCAGCTCTCTCCAGCTGAGGGGGGGAGAGAAAGAGAGAGAGAGAGAGAGAGAGAAATTAAGAGATTGAGAGAGGGGGGGAAGAAGAAGAAGAAGAAGAAGAAGAAGAAGAAGAAGAAGAAGAAGAAGAAGAAGAAGAAGAAGAAGAAGAAGAAGAAGAAGAAGAAGAATGGGGAGGAGTCTCTCCAGCTGAAGGGGGGAAGAGAAAGAGAGAAAAAGAGATTGTGAGAGAGATTGAGAAAGAGATAGAAAGAGAGAGAGAGATTGAGAGAGACAGAAAGAGAGAGATTGAGAAAGAGATTGGGAGAGATTGAAAGAGAGAGAGAGAGAGAGAAGAAGAAGAAGAAGAAGAAGAAGAAGAAGAAGAAGAAGAAGAAGAAGAAGAAGAAGAAGAAGAAGAAGAAGAAGAAGAAGGGGGGGAGGGGTCTCTCCAGCTGAAGGTGGGAAGAGAAAGAGAGAAAAAGAGATTGAGAGAGATTGCGAGAGAGAGATTGAGAAAGAGATAGAAAGAGATTGAAAGAGAGAGAGAGAGAGAGAAAAGAAGAATAAAAAAAAAAAACCACCTTCCTCTGCCTTTCTTTTCTTCCTCTCCCTTTCTTTGCCTGCAACTAACCGCCTGTCAGCCTCGCTCACTCAGGTTCCGGGCTCGACCTGACGCAGCTCACCTGGAATTCCTGCGCCAGGCCCCGGCGCGCCTCGGAGCTCTGATTCAGCCCGGAACGTGGCAGCGGCGCAAACTTTGGCCAAGTCCTTCCAAGTCCCGAGGCAGGTGGCTTACCTGAAGCGGCTCCCCTTCCTGGCTCCTGGGGGCGAGGCTGGCCCGTCCATCGGGCTCCCGGCGGCGCCTGCGGGGCTGCCTGCGCCTCCTGCCTCCCCCGGGGGCTGAGCCCTCTCGCGTCGGGCTCCGCTCCACTTTTCCAGGTGAGCGCGGAGGTGGAGCACACCTAGCAGAGACAGGAAGCCAGGAAAGCTGCGGGCTGATTGGCTTCTCCGGGCACAAAGTCGAGCAAGGAAATAGCGACTCCCAGGCCAGGTGGGGGGGGGAACCCACACAAAGGGCCGGGGGGGGGGAGAGAGAGAAAGAGAAAGCTCCGTGCCTTTAGTGCTCCACGCGAGTTTTCTTTAGAAGGGCTTGGAATCGTGGCTAGGGATGGATTGATTAATGCAAGGTTTGCAGCAGCCGTGGTAGTTGGGGTTTTTTTTATTATTAACGCTGAAGAAGGGTAGGTGTTTGTTTTTTTTAATATATATATATTTATTTTTTAGTTTCAATTTAAACCCAGACGGTGAAAGAAATAGTTTTGGTCTCCACACTAGAAGACTCTAGAAAGAGGGCAAAGCAACAAAGATGATCGGGGGACAGGAGGCTAAAACATACAAAGAGCAGTTGCTGGAATTGGGTAGGTCTAGTTCGGGGTAGGCAACCTTGGCTCTTTTTATGACTCGTGGACTTCAATTCCCAGAATTCCTGAACCAGCATGGCTGGCTAAGAAATTCTGGGAGTTGAAGTCCACAAGTCATAAAAGGGCCAAGGTTGCCTACTCCTGGTAGTTTAATGAAGACATGATAGCAGTCTTCCAATATTGGAGGGAGTCTCACGGAGAGGAGGGGGTCCACCTATTTTCCAAAGCACCAGACAAGGAGAATGGATCAAAACTGATCAAGGAGTCAACCTTCAATAAGGAGAAATTTCTCTTCCAACTCTGTTATTCTATTCTATTCTATTCTATTCTATTCTATTCTATTCTATTCTATTCTATTCCATTACATTACATTACATTACATTTTATTCTGTATTTCTATTCTGTTCTGTTCTATTCTATTCTTTATTTCTATTATATTCTATTCTTTATTTCTATTCTATTCTGTATTTCTTTTCTATTCTGTATTTCTATTCTATTCTATTACATTACATTTTATTCTGTATTTCTATTCTGTTCTATTCTGCATTTCTATTCTGTTCTGTGTTTCTATTCTATTCAATTCTATTTTGTATTTCTAGTCTGTTCTGTTCTGTTCTATTCTATTATTTCTATTCTATTCTGTATTTCTATTCTATTCTGTATTTCTATTCTGTATTTCTATTCTATTCTGTATTTCTATTCCATTGTATTCTAATTTTCTATTCTATTCTATTCTGTATTTCCTATTCTATTCTATTCTATTCTATTCTATTCTATTCTATTCTATTCTATTCTATTCTTTATTTCTATTATATTCTATTCTGTATTTCTATTCTATTCTATTCTATTCTATTCTATTCTATTCTATTCAAATATTCTATTCCTATTCTATTTATTCTTGTAGGTCTCGCTACTCCTTCATTGAAACCAGTGGGGCCATCCTTAAAGGTGATGGTAACTATTTCAAAATCTGAGGGTGGTAAAAGTGCACGACGCAACCCTGAGGTTTAAAAAAAAAAGTCATCAAAAAAGGGATGAAGAGCAGAAGGGAAGTGCAAAGTTAGAGAAAAATCCATTGGTTTTTTTTGTCAGAGAATCTGTCAGGCACGGGAAATCAGGAGCCAGGATAGAGTTCAAAAGGACAAGGGGTTGATTTACGGGAGTGTAACCACTCCAAAGGGATGATGCATTTGACCCCGCCTTTGGGGTCAGCCGGTCATCTCCTACGGAATCATTACAATGATATTAAGTAGAAGAAGAAAGAGCAAGTTGGAATTTGCAGAGCTACTGTGTTAAATTTGTGCAATTCATTCTCTGTTCCCAAAATGTAGTTCCTCGGAGGAGGAGGAGATAAGAACTGTGGGGTCCTTGGTACTCTCTGAGCTTGGTGGCTTTCTTGTGGATGTTTCATTACCCAAACTAGGTAACATCTTCAATGCTAGAAGGGAGGGGGGAGGAGGAGGAGGAGGAGGAGGAGGAGGAGAAGAAAAAGAAGAAGAAGAAGAAGAAGAAGAAGAAGAAGAAGAAGAAGAAGAAGAAGAAGAAGAAGAAGAAGAAGAAGAAGAAGAAGAAGAAGAAGAAGAACAACAACAACAACAACAACAACAACAACAACAACAACAACAGCAACAACTGTGGGGTCCTTGGTCCTCTCTGAGCTTACTGGTTTCCTTGCAGACGTTTCATGACCCAAACTAGGTAACATCATCAGTGCTAGAAGGGAGTAGAGCTTGTGGAATGATGGAGGAGGAGTGTGTGATGACATAAGACATTTTGTTCAGTGACATTGTACCTTCAAATGGTCACTAACCAAATGTTTAGTAAGTCGAGGAATACTTGTAAAGGGAGCACCAGAGTTACAGATTTTTTTTTTTTTTTATTTTATTTTTTTTATTAAAGGTTTTATAAATTTTACAAAAAAAACAAGAACAATACAGAACAAAAAACAACACATACAAAAGAGAGAAAAAAAAAATTAAACAATACATATAAAAAAAAAACCCCCACCCCACACCCCTCCCAAAAACCCTCCCTTCCCCCCCCCTGAGCTTCCCAGAGCAGAATATAGGCTTAAGAAATAATAAAAAAAAAATAAAAATTAAATTAAAAACTCTATATTTATATATATAAAAAAGATATCTATAATATATATAAAAATAAAACTTATGAAAAGGCTATATAATATTTTTGTATACCCAATCTAAATTGTATAAATTTTATCCATTTGTCCCAGATAGCAAAAAACTTCTCTTGCGTTTGTTGCTTTAAGAAAGCCGAAATCTTTGCCATTTCCGCCATAAGCCGCAATGTAGGCAAAGATTCCTTCTTCCAATATTGTAACTGCCATCAAATTTAACATCAATTCCTTTGTATCACAATCTGTAACAATACCTAACAAAAATAATTGCGGAGTAAATTTTACCCTCCTTCTAAAAATTCTCTGGATATTCCACCATATTTTGATCCAAAATGCTTTTATCTCTCTGCATGACCACCAAATATGATAATAGGAAGCCTCCTTGTAACCACATCTCCAGCATTTAGGTTGCACGTCAGGGTACATGTAAGACATTTTTTGTGGATCAAGGTGCCATCTATAAAACATTTTATAAAAATTCTCCCTTAGATTCTGTGCTTTGTATTTGTAATTAGTTCCATCCTGTTCTGAAGTTTTGTCTCCTTCCTTACTCCAGTAATATATTGTAACTGTGCCTAATTGCCAAAACCCCCACCATTTTGTCCCCCATTCCCTATTTTAAAAGGCCAAGGCGGGAGGCTTAAAGTGGTTAAAGAATCCTTAAAGTGGCCCCCAGTCTTAATGAACCAGGGGTCTTGAAACTTGGTTTTTTCCCTGCCCAAATTGAGACCCTTCTGCCACTTTTAAATTAATCTCATTTTTCAAAATTGTAACATTTGAAACAAAAAAAGACTTTCATATCATGCCCATGAGGGATAATTGCAGCTTTTCCCAATTCTTCAAGGGAGTTGAAGTCACACAAGTCATTAAAAGGGCCAAGTAATTGAATCAACTGTAACTACCCGATAAAGTCATCTCTAGGGACTCTCGAGTCATAGGTGCTCAAGACAAACCTCCATTAACAATAAGTTGTGCTGTTTGTTTTTGATATATTACCTTAAGAATTCCTTCATTTCTTCCATTACTCTTAGCATTGCCAATTCAGTTGGTCAAATGCTTTTTCAGCATCTAAAAATATGAGCCCTGCAGGAACTTGGTTGTTCTTATCTAAGTATTCTCTTCATATACCTTCCTGTTATAAACCCTGATTGATCTTTATGCACAAGATGATGCACCACCCTCATAAGCCTGTTTACCAAAATTTTTACAAATATCTTATAATAAAAAAGCAAACAATTCAAAAGAAAAAATTCTAAGCCAAAAGCAAAAGCAAAAGCAAAAAACAATCCTTAAAAAGGGAAAGTAGAGAGTTACAGATTTTTTGTTTTTTGTTTTTTATGCCACCACCTTTTCTTAGAAATTATGATTGTTAGTATTCCATTAATCCGGTTGTATGCATTTATATTTTTTATGTTTAGAACCATATAATTCATACAAAGTAAAATATATATTTTTTTAAAAAAAATGATGCTTTGTATTGTATTAGTTATCCTGGAAGTTTTGTCTCCTTCCTCTCCAATATATATTGTAACTGCCTAATCAAAACCCCACTCCCACCCTTTTTAAAAGGGGCGGGGCTTTGGTTGAATCCTTGTGGCCCCCATCTTAGCCAGGGGTCTTGAAACTTGGCCCCTTGATGACTTGTGGACTTCAACTCCCAGAATTCTGGGAGTTGAAGTCTCATAAAAGGGCCAAGTTTCAAGACCCCTGATCTTAGCAGTCATAGGTGCTCAATTATACCATTTTAGACAACTGGCTGTCCAATCTCTTCTTCAAAACCTCCAGGGATGGAGCATCCACAAGTTCTGGTGGCAAGCTGTTCCACTGGTTGATTGTCAGGAAATTCCTCCTTAGTTTCGGTCTCTGGTGCTTTGGAGGATTGACATTCTCTTCTCTAGAAGATTGAAGATTGCTAACAGGTCTTCCCCCACATTACCGGGGCATATATGGTAAAATTACATCAAACCAAAAGGCAACCTGGAGCTGTGATCAGTCATAGTCGGATAATGAGTCAGCCCACAATGCGGCTGCAAAAATAAATTCTAGATTGCATGAATAGGATTATCTATTTTAAAACAGGGGAAAGAAGAGCGTCATTATATTTTGTGCTGGTGACCTTATAATTTGTACCGGTCGCAACAGGGAAGCTTCAACTTCACGTTCAGAGAAGAAATACAGATATACTAGGGAACTGAACTGGCCAGGGTTAATCTTTGTAATAATGTTATTAACTGCTTTGTAACACAAATAAAAACTAAAAAAAAAAACTTTAAAGAAGAAAGAAAGAAAGAAAGAGAGAGAGAGAGAGAGAGAGAGAGAGAGAGAGAGAGAGAGAGAAAGAAAGAAAGAAAGAAAGAAAAGAGAAATAGAGGTGCAGAAAT